GAGGTGCTGGGTAGGAAAGGTGAAGGGATGTTGTCAGAGGTGTGGGGAAACATTTGAGAAAAGGAGGATGAAGAGGGAACCGTGGAGGGGGAGAGTGGGGAGATGGGTTATAGGGAGGTGGAAGGAAGGCAGAAAAGGCAGAAGGACATACAAAAAGGGGGAGTTGGGGAGAGAGGGGAATGGGGAGGTAGAAGAGCAGAAGAATTGGTGGAAAGAAGGAAGGGGGGGGCGTGTAAATGAGATAAACAAGGTGAGGTGGCATAAAAAGGGGAAGAGGCGGGGGATTGGAAAGATTGGGGTGACGAGTAGAGGGTGAGGCACAAAGTGGGAGAATCAATAGGAAGAGGAGGGGGCAGGTGGAAGCATGGGGAAGGAGGAGCTTGCCACTCTGGTCCCCAGCTCCAATCTAAACAGCAGGAGGAAGCTGTAAATCAGACTAATGCGGCCGAGCTGTAATTCAGACCAGCAGGGCCAGGGCGCTGGTGCAGGGACCCCAAACGGCCGGAGTTTACAAAACGCCGCCGCAAGGCTTTAATCAGCGCAACGATCCGAAGATACCGTCTCCCCCAATCAGAGGGCTTCCTGTCAGTCACACACGGCTGAACCCGACCAATCACGCTCCGCCAAGGATCCAGACATGCTGGCTGGGCTTTGGGCTGCAGCCAAACAAGAGAATTACTCATCTAAACTGGAAAGGTGGAATGGGCCTTTAATTCAGAGCATAGAGGGACGAGGTGATAGATTTGTCAAAGGTTGGACATAAAAGACTGTGGGATCATGTTCTACAATGGTTCATCAGAAACATATGGGGGAAAGATGAGAGACACATGGGAGCCGTAGAGGATGACTTAATCGTATTTATCAGACTGGAGTTTCTAGAAGTTTAGGCACTAAAACTCAACAGACATATCTCTTCAAATCTGTTAACAACAGCTCTTACACCACTAAATCTTTCACTGAAAGCATTTTCGAAGAATAAAAAATAACATGGAGACCTCATTATGAGTTCAGTCTGTCACTGTGTTGTACAAACTTAATAATAATCACATCTGTTTGCTGCCATATATATATATATATATATATATAAAAGACTTTCTATCAAACTGCGATCTGTCTCTGCTTCTGTGTGTCTCACAGATCTGCTGCTGGCACTTGAACACCTCCCTAATTACGATTACAACACCCGAGGGGCCAGCACAATCCTTGCCAGCATGGACTTACAACATAAAATCCGAGATGAGAAATAGCATCAAAACTTACCGTTAAATCATGATTTGTGTCCCAACATGTAAAACAGGCAGACAAACTTTCAAATCAGTCGTTACCAGGAGCTGCCTTTTCATACCTGCATTTTTACTAAAAGGGGAAGGAGGGCAATGCATTAACTTAAAAGTGAGCGGAAAATGCAAATGTAGTCCACTTTATCATCGGGCATTCAAACAGACCCTTTCAACTCGGCAATCCATAATATTTCAGCTTTGATGCTCAGGAAATGGCCACAGCTCGGAGGTAAACGCTGAGCTGGATTCTGCTCCACTTGTAGTGGGACTAGTGTGACTGGCTGGGCTACACACACACACTGTGCATGTTAAAACCACATGCAGCGTCTTGGCAGCAAAGACGCTACAGCGGCAGCCAATCAATAAAACCTTGTTACGCTAATTGCAAGATCATAATCTCCGTTCCTACTTCTGCTGAATATCCAAACAGTCACTCCATTAGCCGAATTATTCCCCTGCGCAGTTTCTCCATCTCTCTTTCTACCACCACCACCCCCCCACCACCACCACCCCTTTTCCATTTCTTCCTCGTGTTCTTTTTTCTGTGACATATTTCTCTCAAACAGCAGTTCTGCTAAATGAATTCATAAGTCAGGGAGAAACACATCAAAGCAAAGCATTGTCAAGGTAAAGTGCTGATGAAGTATACTGTTTCTTTCACTTTGCTGCGGAGCTATGAGAAGGCATCTCCACAGTGCATTATCTTTGATCGCATCGCTTCTCCACTGTTCTGTTAAGTGTTAGCAAGAGAAATCCCACTTCAGGTGAAGGTCTACTAAGACCTTTATAATAATAATAAAAAAGCCTCTCTACTTAGGAGGAGCTCTTCCACTTCCCACTGTGGAGATTTGCTGTGTCTAGTGTGTCTCTTTTTGTGCTTGAGATTCAGATCAAACCTCTTGTGAAGACACTGGAACAAGCTCCTCGTCGTTGGTTACTCTTTTCTACATTGTTGCCACGGCAATGGTCAGTGGCCAGAGGGGCAGACAAAGAGCTTGTTGATGCCAAGACCAGGGTCCGTGACCTTGTCATTGAATCACTAACACTTTGTCACTCCGCTGGGGGAGAGGAGAAAGACAGGAAGAACCACTGCAGAGAACTAAGCAGGGTCAGACTACGATGTTCACGGGAACATCGATATGACAATGGCACTGACCCTGTTTCCTTGTGACTCATCACGAGAACATACCCATCTAAGCATCTCACTATCTGATGCGGTGAGTTGGCCTGAGTTACTCACCAGGCCCGTGCTTACGTCCTCTATGAATGTACCTTATGTGTAAGAAATGTATCGATACAGGTGAGACGGATTATATAGAGCAATTACACGGAAGCAGGAGACAGCCGAGCACTGAGAAACACACTTTCACACAGTTTGGAGGTGGAACCGCTGACCCAAATGCATTTAAATGCAATTGAAGGAGGGGGGAGGGGGGGGTGGGGGGCTGAGAGAGAAAAAGCAAAAGAGGGGGAGTCACAGAGAGAGTGGGAGAAAGAAGGATGAAGAAGAAAAGTCAGATAATAAAGCAGCGAGCAGAGAAAAGTAAGCTTTAGGCTGTATGATTTGTTTTCTTCAAGATGGAATATATTATGGATAATGCAGCTAATGTATACACCGTACAACAACGTGTTTCTTCAAGAATAAAACTAGTTAATAAACAATGATCCCTTCAGCTATCTTATCCCTGAGTTTCTTTCACCAAGTCCACTTGCAAACAACACAAGCATAAACACATTTAGTGTTTCTTAATGTACTTTAAACTCAACTTTAACCAATCAATCAAACACCCAATGAAACATGCTTACCTAAACCAAAAAAAGAAACATTTTACAGTCTCTTTGTAAAGTTTAATTGTCTGTTGGCAAGTATGTTAATTTCATGTACATATGTACTGTGTGTACATGTATGTATGCATGCATTAATAAGTATGTTAATTCAATGCATATTAAAGGTAAAAACAGTATTTACTTTCTACAATCTGTTTGTATTATTGATTGCAGATCTTACTCAATCAAGTAATACTGGCATTGTGAAGTATGCGTTTCCAGTGTGGACACACTACATACTTAAAATCAGCTTAAAAGAGTGTGGAATTAGCTAAGGAGGTGTGCATGTCAGTGATTTTTTGCTATTTCTCCCATCTCTATGTTTTGTTGTCGGCATGTGTGTCCACCCCTAAGGCCCTCCCTGGTTCGAGCTGTCAGAGGGAAGGAGAGGCTAAACTTGGTGAAGCGGAGAATAGAGCAAGGCACATGTCAAATATGAGGGGATCTTGAGTAAACAAAGTCTAACACAGAGCAAAGCAAAATCGTCTCTCATCCCATCACCGTCTTTCATGCTATTTCCCACTCTCTGTCTCTCTTGCTTCCTTGATCCCTACCTTTCTCTCCCCCTACCACCACTCTCTGTGTCTATCTTCCATGCAACATTTGCGATATTTTATCTGTCCCCGAGTAATTCAGCAAAAACACATTGTGCGCATCAGCACGACTTGTAATCAGTCAATCAGCACTGCAGTAAAACTTCATGTGCTGAATCAAAAATGGGTGATGAACGCAGTTGTTCTTGAGATTTTTTTAGACAGCCAAGGATCTGCATGGGGAATCTGTCAGATAACAGCACTATCCTACTGAAACTCACTTTGTGACAGACATATTTGTTGTCAGAGATATCTAAATAAACTTTAGGAATCGTGTACAAGAAGCAGCAATAGCAGCTCTGTCTCACTCTGGGCCCCGAGCCACACGTTAACAAACCACAGCATTAAGAAATTAGGCAAAACAGCAAATGCAACACAAACTCAGAACTACTGTAGCCTATGGGTCGGTTCTAATAATTGCAATTGACAGGGACAAATTCGCTGCTCCCCTGTGTATGTCAGATGGGCTTATTCCCAAACTCCACAAATCCCTCTGTCCAAACACAACCATATGGTCTCCCAGTTGTTCACAACCAGCTGTGCTACAGTGTATCTGGCATGGTTGCCATGTTCTGTAGAAGAGCACGGACTCCCCCTCCATTCTAACTTAATAAATCCTTTGTAATGAGGCCAAAACTCACTCAGAATGAAGCAGCGTTTTCTGCTTGGCTTTTACCAGTGAAAAGCCAGAAGTGAAAATAGAGTGCGCAGAGTATGATTGCATAATTGGAATATAGTGAATTTGAATTTTATGATGGCAGAGTTAGCTTAATGGTTGATACTGTCAGCTCAAGAGAAAGAAGGGCCCAGCTCTCCCTGTGTGGAATTTGGATATATTTACTTGCTGGTTCAGATACTCTGCTTTTCTCATACTTATTACTGTAGAAGAAATGTAATTATGACTGTTTGAAGTAGACTGTGATGGATTAGCAACCTGTCCAGAGTGGTTCCATGCCCTCTGCCCAGTGCATGCTGGGATAGACTCCAGCTTCAGTGTATAAAAGACACTAAACACAGTGTATATTCTATTTTTATAGAGGATAACATTTCAAAACAACTATATCATCTGTATACTTCATATTTAAGGAAACTCTAAAAAAGAAAAAGTGATTATTTTTTAAGTCAGGCTGTCGACATATAAAAGAAAAAAAAAATAAAGCAAAATATTCCACTGTATTTAATCTCCAGGTTCTAGGACTATAAGAAATGTTTTTTCTGTTTGTTCAAAAAATGGCTGCACAACAATCACGGGGGAACAGATGAAATAGCAGGTATTCCATTAGGGGCAATTTGAACTCACCTGGTTTGGCGGGAGGAACTCATGGTTATTTTCATTCATGTACATGTTGTCACCATCAAACTGCAGAGAGAGAGAAATGAGAAAACAGTTAGGCAGACACTGACACATCACAACAAGAACAGAAAACAGAGATTTTTCAGTCAGTCAGTAGAGATAGAGAAACAGTGTAACACAGCAGCCTAATGACTGCAAGTCCTCGGCTTATAGACCTCGATGCTCTGGTGGATGTCAGTAATTACAGTTCATTAGAGACAAGTATAATTAGGCCCTGTCAAAGCTTGTGTAACTCACACTCTTCGCCTCAGCTTGCCTACAGCCTGAGAATGTGTGTGCCTAAGTGTGCACACACCTAACTACTGTGATTCCACGGGTGTCACAAGGCGACAAAGGGACAACCGAGAGATAATCACAACACTGAGAGCTCAACGTTCACATTTTAGTTAGTCGGCTAGCAAGTTGTCCAGTCACTCTGTGGCAGAGCAGATCCAATTCCACTGATCAAAAGTGTCCGTCTGTCGGTTGGTCGGACCAACACTTTGGTCCAGAATGATATATCATAGCTACTTTTGGACAGCTTACCATGATATTTCGTGCAGATATACTTGGTTCCAAGGTGATGATAAATCTAGGTGACTTTAGTGAGATCCCTTGACTTTCCCTCTAATGCCACCATGAGGTTTCCTTTTGTGGTTATGAGTGAAATGTCTCAACAAGTATTAGATGAATTGGCATGAAATTAGCCACATATATTCATGTTCCCCCTCTGGATGAATTATAATCCATTTGGTGATCCCCAAACTTTTGATCTAGCACCACCATGAGTTCAGCATTTTATTTTATGATCAACTACCTGCACAAATAATGACGTTTCCATCAGTGCCGGTTTCACTTTGTCTTTAGTGCGAATTAGCAATTGTTAGCACGCTGACACACAAAACTGTCACTGCATTTAGGTCATGGTACCACTGTGCCTACACGGCTTAAAAGAGTTGCTTGCATGTCTTGGTCTTGTTGTAATTTGGGTACATGCTCTGTGCTTTTGTATTTGCTACTAGACATCTCGAAACACGCACAAAAACTAAATCAAAGGCAACTTTTATGTGATCAAATGATGTAGGACAAGTAAGTCAGCCAGAAAGTTGACCCAGAAATTGATTTGCTGTACCATGCAGTTCACCAAAACAGGAATTTCCAACGACCTACCTTCTGTGTTTGCTTTCTGTCAAACTCAAAGACAAGTGTTCAAGCTGATTTTTGTTGAATTGACTTTTCTTGAAAAGCTGTAGGAGGTTCATGCCCCTTGCTGTGATCGACATTGTTTGTGCTGTAGTGTGGTTTCTCCCAAAACTCCGGGGAGGTGGTGAGTCAAATGATGTCATGACCAATAGTCTTAACAGACTAAATTTGAGAATAAGACCCAGACTGACAAATAGTGACATTTCAGCCAGCCAGACACTAAGGCTGTTCCCTCTACAGCAATCGCCCGGTAACATGGCTGACTAGTCACACATCAACACTTTTACCAACCCCAGCTAGGGAGTGAGAGACCACACGGACGCCAAGAGGTGAGAACTGCCTGTAGTGCTTCTGGACTTTGCCAGAGAAGGGAGGACAGGGCAACCCCACTAATTCAGAGCTCAGAAACACCGACCTCAAGAAGCCCAGAGGGGAGGTCTAGGCTAGAGGAGAGGTGATGGTTGGAGGTCATGGGGAGATGATGATAAAGACGAGGGAGACTATATCCCCGAGCTAATGGCAAAAGGAGTGGGTAAAGATCATGTGTAAGTGGGAAATACAGTAGAGAAGATACTGTAGGTATGGTGTTATAGAGAGAGAGAAAGGACAGAGAAGGAAACAGATAGAGAAGAGGAGGGTTGTAAGCAGCAGTAGTCGCAATAGAGCCTGTGGTTGTTCTGGCTGTGGTGTGATTAACACTGGGGTCACAGCCAGAGGCCTCAGCTTGAAACACAAATGCATACAAACATACACACACACACACACACACACACACACACACACACACACACACACACATGCTCCCAGAGGCCTTCCCTGCCTTTCAGTCTGACACTATTTGGCACCAGCCATTTATGAGGAAACAAAACACACCTCAAGACAGCTAGTAGCGGCTGAGATAAATTACCACTGCTACTGTAAGGTCAAATAACGGGATGGACGTGCCTACAGTAAGCTGTGGGCGGGGACCAAAAATGGGCCACATCTTTTTTTTATAGCCATATTTCACCATATGTAATGAGCCAGAGGTTCTGTTGACTAAATCTGTGTATTGTACACTCTTCAGTATGGCAATTTCTTTCAGCATTTGAATATTTTCCATTTAATTTATAGTCTGATTCAACATCAATACCGTTTTCTCGCATTTGTGTTTTCTATCTTTATACATGACACAGTCAGAGCACCAAACAAACTACAATACAAATGCAGTTCCTTGCAACATTATTCAATTTGAAGCCCCAATTCCATCTCTGCGTTATCATTCAGCCTCTAATGGAACTGTTACTTCTAGTGCAATGATTTCTGTCTGATAGCACTATTAGTTTGCTGGAGGAACAATCATTGTATTCTGCAGTGAAAATGAAATCACTTTCTTTATTGCGCTTGGAAAATGATTTTACATGCTGTCCTAATCACATCGTGCTAGATGGTGTCGGTGTCTTGGAATAGTTTATTTTCAAACCTGCAAACCAGATCTCGAGCAAAACAGGGTAAGTAGAAAACAATTATACAGAAAGTCAAAGAGCAAAGTAAAGTATGTGATGGTGCTTCTGCTGCACGGCGGGAAGGAGTCACTGAGGCCAGAGTTGTTAGAATAATAAACAATATATAAATCAAGGGGAAAGGTAAAAATAATTATTTTTTTGCCTCTTTGTGGTCAGCAACTGGTCACTTAAGCTAAGTGTACAATAATCATGCTGAAGTACAATAACAGGATAGGACCTTAGCTAAGAAATCTCTACACAAGCTGTCTAGTCCTTAGTTTGCACTTACCCCACAAGGGTCTGACTCAAATCCAGTGTACGTTGAAAGAAACTGTTTAACATTTTCCGAGATACACGTATCCACTTTCTTGCTGAGAGTTGGGTGACAACATTGATACCACTCTCATGTCTGAACGCTAAAAATGAAGCCAGATTCAGTGGACAATTAGCTTAACTTAGCAGAAAGTCTAGACATACCAAACCTGTAAAACTCCCTCATTATTTTGTAATTCATTTGTTTAATAATAAACACAAACATAAATGTAAAAACAATAGGTTAGGTTCTATGTTACAAGCTGGAGCACAGTGACTCTCTAGCTGCCTAGCTGTTTACCCACTGCTTCTAGTCTGCATGTTAAGCTAGGCTAAATGGTGGCTACATACATAGCATATGACAACCTTCTCATCTAATTGTCAATAAGAAAACCATTAAGCATACTTCTCTAAATGTGAAACTGTTTCTTTAAAGCACACAAATGGAAGTGCAACAACTTGTGCCCTAAAACAGTTTATTCTATCCCTAGTAAGTAATACCTGTTTGTTGTTGCTGTTGTCTGCATTTCATCTGTGGTCCCTGTTCTGATGTTCACTAAACATTTGGAACGCACTGCAGACGACAAAAGCTTTGAAATGCTGGGAAACATCAAAAACTGGACATGTACTGCACTAATATAGAGATTCATGATACCAAAATTTGTATAATTATTTAACTAACCACATACACTACAGTAAAAATGCACTAAGAATAAATGAATAATTAACAGGGGCTTTACAGCAATGGTCAGGGAAAGCTGTTTCTGTCTGCCAGGTGGTGGTTTGTTGTCTGTAGAAATCAGACATAATTTTGTGTATATAAAGTCTTTCTCTCAAGTAATCTGACTCATATTATTTATGTAGATCTTTTTTTCCAGACGTCGTAATGTGCTCAGCGAAAACATACGAGCAGTTGACATATGAGAAAAAGGGGAGGTTTGTAAGGGAAGGGCAAGCTCGTAGTGTCTCTCTCTGTTTGCTTTCCTCAGGCTTTGAGGTCATTAATCATAACGGTCAAATCTACAGCAAAACAATTGAGCAAAGGAAAACACAGACAGGAGGGGGGGGCTGGGCTGGGGTGGGGGGGGGGGGAAGGTGAGAGAGAGGTGGAAAGCTACAGTGAGATGGAGGAGAGGGGAGTCATGGAGCGAGGGAATGAAGGGGCGAAAAATTTTTTTTTTGAGATATATTGAGGCTTGAGAAAGAAAAGGGACAAGCAACTGACGCACTTGACACCAGACTCCTGTTTGCATAGCAGAAATGCAAATACATGAAAGGGAGAGATAGAAGGGAGAGAAAGGGAGGGAGGAAATAAAGTGGGAGAGATGCTATAAATAGCTTTCTGTTTGCGTAAAGCCAAACCAATGTCAGTTTGATGCAGGAAGTGCACCACAGTCATAGAGGTTATAGAACAACTGTTGACTGGAACACGGCGTATCAGAAATGCAGAGCTTTCCAAAGGCTTCAAACAAGAACTCACATCTACAGTGGCATCTTAAAACTGTCAGTTTTCTCCATCCATTACGGTGCAAGTTTATCTAAGTAAACTATATCTTAAAACTTATTTAACTGCAGTAAAAAATTAGGATTTGGAAACCATTGACTGGTGTAGGGCCAAAATACATTTATGATCTGCTGCTTTGTTTTGAACCATCCAAGCCTCACGCATCATCTGGGACAGGTCTGCTTACTGTCCCCAGAGTCGAAACTAAACATGGAGAAGCAGCGCTCAGTTTTTATCCATCCGCATATCTGAAACAAACCCCCAGAAAGCTTGAGGTCTGCTCCAACTCTCAGCTTGTTTAAATCAACGCTTCAAACTTTTCTGTTTGCCACCAACTTATATTAAATCAAATTTGGGAATATATATTCATATCGCTCACTGCACTGTAGCTGCACTGTAACTTTTATTCTCCCGTTCACTTTCTCGTTCTATTTTAGCTTATTTTTAGCTTCTAGTTTATTGTATTCTTTTAAAATCCTACCTAAGCTGTCTTTTTATATTGTCTCATGTGCCTTTTATATCTC